TAAGCACGACGATAAAGACTAAAATTTTGCCAATTAGAGATTCAAAACAATGTTTCAGGTGACTATTGGATTTAAAATAAAGACTTAGAAACCATTAATAAATTATTGAAAATACATGTGAGCAAGACTTAATAAAAATATGGAAAGGATATACTTAAAGATTTAGTAGCATTATATGTTTTTAGTATGAAACAAGAAAAAGCTTACAAATCAAGAACTTAGAGAAAAGATAAAAATGCAACAATTATAGCAGAAATTTATTTCAAAATTTATTGGAAATCATTCAAAACTCAAAAATGTATGAATTAAAAAATCATAAGAAATAATTTAAGAGTTGTTTTAAAAGAGTAAGAAATTAATCAATGGAAAATCTGGAAGAAATGGATAACTTTTAAAAAATATATCAATGATTTTACAAATTGACTTGGAGGCTGGACGTGGTGACCCATGCACATCCCAGCACTTCGGGAGGCCAAGGTGGGAGGATTGCTTGAGGCCAGGAGTTCAAGACTAGCCTTGGCAACATAGCAAGACCCCCATCTCTACCAACAAAGCAAATTTGTTTTTGAGAGAGACTTGAGACACTCTGGGAGGCCGAGGTGAACGGATTGCTCGAGGTCAGGAGGTCAAAACCAGCCTGAGCAAGAGCGAGACCCCGTCTCTACTATAAATAGAAAGAAATTAATTAGCCAACTAATATATATATAGAAAAAAAATTAGCCAGGCATGGTGGCACATGCCTGTAGTCCCAGCTATTTGGGAGGCTGAAGCAGCAGGATTGCTTGAGCCCAGGAGTTTGAGGTAGAAAGAAAGAAGAGAGAGAAAGAAAGGAAAAGAAAAAAGAAAGAAGAGAGACTTGAGAGATATAATAACAAAAATAAAGTGTCTTAATTATTTTTAAAAAATTGACTTGGAAAAAATTAAAAATTGAATAGACCTGTAGTCATGGAATAAATTGAAAAATGCATCAATAAATATAGTTGCCCAGTCCCAGATAGCTTTATGATGTGCTCCAGAAGTAGGAAAAAATGGAAACTGCATGGTTTATTTTATGAAGCAATAATAACTTTGCTAATAAAACCAGGAAAAAAGTAAAAACTGCTAATACAAACTGATACATCCATACCATGGAATATTACAAAGCAATAAAAAAGGGTGAATGCAATAACTTGTATGAATCTCAAGGAATTATGCTGAGTGGGAAAGCCAGTCCCACCGAGAGATTACACATTGTATGATTCCATTTATATGATTCTTAAAATGACAAAATTATAGGAATGGAGAACAGATTAGTGTTTATCCAGGAATTAGGGGTGGGAAGGGGGTGGGAGGGAAGTGAATGTGATTACACAAGGGCAATGTGAAGGATTCTTGGGTTAATGAAACTTTTCTGTATCTTCACTGTGATGGTGAATATAAGAACCTATACATGTGAGAAACTTGTGTAGCACTAAATATACACACACAAGTATAAATAAAATATAAGGGATTTGGAATATTTTAAAATTGTAGGCAAAACTCACTTGCATTCCAAAAAGCTCCTATTAAAAAATGAAGTGTTAAATTGGAAAAATATATTAAAAGAATGACCCACCACAATTCAATAGATTTTCTCCCAAAGATGCAGATTTACTACTGGTAAATCTGTTATCACTAGTATTTTAACCAATAGTACATAAAACATTAAGGAATTTCAGTTGATGCTTTTAAGAAATGCTAGAGAAGTACTTGATAAAAATTAAATTCAAGTTTATATTTTAAAAACAAACAGGTACTCCTCGTAAAGTAGGAATATAATTATGTTTTTCATGACCTAATTAAAGGCTCTCTTAAAACAATGAATAATATCATATTTCACAATTGAACCATAGCAGTTTTCCCATCAAAATCAAGTACAAAAAAAGATTTAGAATGCCACTTCTTATTTAACATTGTCCTAGGAGTTCTTACCAATATTACAGAAAAGGAGGCAAAAAGAAAAAAGCCCTTGTAAAGAAGGAGACAAAATTAACATTATTTGCAAATAAAAATCAAAGAGAATATACTTAAAAGAGTAGTTTATTTGGTAGAAGCCTTTAATATAATGAGAAGACAAAAAATAAATACAAAAATAGCTCTCCTAGGTACCAGCAATGATGGGTTATAAAATATTATGGGAAATAAGCACTCAGAAGAGCAATAAACAATATTAAATACCTGTAAACCATCTTAAACCAGAAATATGTGTCTTTCAGGAAGACAATTATAAAACTTTACTAAGGAAAAAAGTCTTTAATAGACATGTTCAGAAATGAGAAACAGGTACACTGACTATCATAAAGAACGAATTGTCTCTATAATCACTTATAGTCTTAAGGTGATTCCAAACAAAAATCCCAGTAGAACTATTTTGGAACGTAATAAAATTAAGATCAGTCCATCTGTAAAAATAAAAGCGAGCAGACAAGAATACCTGAGGAAATCATGGAAAATATAAAGAGGAAACGTGCCCTACAGACATTAGTAATTGGAATAGTGTTATACCAGTGAAAAGCCCACAGACCACTGGGACAGATAAAATATTCCTAAAATAGACAGTAGTATTTATAAGACATTTGTAGGTAATAAAATAGAGAACGGATGATTTGGAAAAATGGGCTCTTTCAGAAAAATATCAAACTACAACTTCATGTTACACCAAAAAAATTTTCAGAAAGATTAAAGATTTAATGTTAACAATTAATTCACCAAAAATAAAGCTAGAAAAATATAAACATTTAACTGACCTCTAGAGAGAAATGATTAAGAGATTTAAATACACAGGAATATTAAAAATTCTATGTATTAGAAAATAAAGAAAACAAAAGGCAAAAGCAGATTTAAAGGCAGATGTGTAACTAAGCACATGTATAAATAAATAAGAAAACCTTAACATCCCAACAACAACAATAATGAAAAAAGGAGCAGACCTAGTGGACAATACTCTAAGAAAAAAATTGACCAATAAGCCCATGAGAAAATGTTTTCCTCTTGTAAATTCCATGGGAAATTAAAAATAAACATTTAACATTTTTACCATTTAACAATTCTAAGAGTTCTTTCAAAATTACTCAGCATTTGCGATAGCATTACACAGAGGCGGATTCATGGACTAATGGTATTATGGGAAATCTGCACAACTGTCATGAAGGTAGCATGTTAATATGGATCAATAATCACATATATTTTTCTTTTAACCCAGTAATTAATTCAACTTATAGGGATTTGTACTAAAAAAAATCACCATATATGCTCAAATATAAGCGACATAATTCATTTATAAACCTCTAGGCATGTATTTGAATAATAAAAAATCTACTTTTAATATTAATTCATTTAGCTTATACTTGCGTATTGAAAATCTTAAACAAATCTGTTGATAAATTTAGGGGTTTTTTCCACTCACATTTCAGTCTTACTCAGATTCCGTACTCGTATTTTCGACATCACTGGTGTCGCTTTTTCAGTTATCTGAAAGTTTCAGTTTTCAGGGTACATCGTCTTCTCTTCCAGGTGGACAGAGCCCGTTTTGAATCTGTGTGGGATGCTACCTGGGGTAATTTCACCACAAGCCGCAAATACTGATTCACATGGTATTTAGGAGAGTTGTTGCTTACTTTTATCCTGAGGGTGGATATTTTTTATCTCAGTAGTGAAACCACCGTATGACTTTTTATAGAGCGCTTTAAAAGGCTTATTTACAATGGCATCTGATACTTGAAATTATAAGTTCCTAGCTCCTAGGAATAATTTCTAAAACTGTATAAAATTTATTTGACTGCTTCTCTCAAGTGAATCTAAAAATATCTAAAATTAGCATTGATTGAGGTCATGTAAGGCTAATATGTCTTCACTGAATGTTACCTTTGTTCAAAAGAGAGTAATTGAACGACTGTTCTATAATACAAAGGTTTTGGGGAAAAAGTAATAACTATTGCTTTTATGTGAAGTAATTTTAGATTTAAAGAACAACTTTTGCCATATATTGAAACATATACAATGGACACATGCCACAGTGGACATCTCAGTAATCAGACATGGCTCAAGGATTTATGTACAAGAGTGTTTATTGAAGCATTATTTTAAAACAATAAGAAAGTCAAATGTCCAGCAATGAAGGCTACTGAAATTATTGCTTTATTAATTATTTATTACATATCCATGAAACTTAATATCATACACTCATCAAAATTCTCTGTTAGAAGAGTATTTAAGGTCGGGCGCCGTGGCTCACGCCTATAATCCTAGCACTCTGGGAGGCCGAGGCGGGAGGATTGCTCAAGGTCAGGAGTTCAAAACCAGCCTGAGCAAGAGCGAGACCCCGTCTCTACTATAAATAGAAAGAAATTAATTGGCCAACTAATATATATAGAAAAAAATCAGCCGAGCATGGTGGCGCATGCCTGTAGTCCCAGCTACTTGGGAGGCTGAGGCAGAAGGATTGCTTGAGCCCAGGAGTTTGAGGTTGCTGTGAGCTAGGCTGGGCAACAAAGTGAGACTCTGTCTCAAAAAAAAAAAAAAAGAGTATTTAATAACTTAGGGAAATGCTTATAAAATAAGTGAAAAATTCCATAACAGAATTGTAGATCCTGATGTGGAGAAAATATGTATGTATTTGTATAAGACAAGACTGGGGGGGGAAAAATCACCAAAATTATTTATTTGGTGATTTATCCATCAGAGGCTCTATTTCTCTTACTTTCCATGTTGAATGAAGTATTACGACCCCTACTCTGTAAACTCCACAAACAGTGTAAATGTTTATCAGTGACTGATACTGCTTCATTCGGCTGCAGAGCAAACAGAGGCGCAGTGTCCCTGTGCCCCATGGAGCCGGACGACTTTTGAGTAGATTGGAAAAGGAGGGCTTGGGGGTCGGGGACGCTGGGCAGGAATAACCCTGACGCGGCCGTCCCGTATGTTAGTCCCTCCGTGCTGCCCATGCTCACACGGGGTGCTTTCTTTCCCTGGTCTGTCTGCAGTCTTTTTTCGTGGACCACAACAGTCGAGCTACCACTTTCATTGACCCCCGAATCCCTCTTCAGAACGGTCGTCTTCCCAACCACCTGACTCACCGGCAGCACCTCCAGCGGCTCCGCAGCTACAGCGCAGGCGAGGTAACCCCCCCGCTGCTCGCAGGTGCACAGTCCCGGCCTCCTCCCGGGGGGGTTGGGGGTGCCCGGGGTCAAGGGTCGCCTGCTCCGGAAGAGACTAAGCCATATGTGTGCTGCTCTGTAGGAGAACGAATGACGGCACTTAACTCCTCGACTTGTCTTCGGTTGACCTTCCTTTTTGCCTTCACTTTTGTCCAGCGCGATCACCACCACTGAAAATCGGTCTAGTTTAAAGACAGATGTTCAGTGACAGGTGATCCCTACACTTGTGGCTTGACCTGTGGTTTCCAAGGCCTGCCAGTCACATGTGAATACTTGAAAGACCATGGAACTTCCAGACAAGAGAGAGCAGGCTATTTATAATAGTGGACCTGCTCTCACCAAAATCCCAAACTATTAATAAGTACTGCCCTAAATTCCTATTAAAAAAAAAAAAGAAAGACAGACCGTGGAACTGCTACACAGTGTATGACTGACTTTATACTTCTACTTCTCCACAAGATCCTGGAGAAGAATTCAGTAAAGTACTCCTGGACTAGAAACTGGGGGAAATTAACCAAGCCACACGAATATTCTGTTCCCTTCCTGCCTTGTGCTCTTCCCTGGCTTTATGTCTTCTTTCGTGAGAAAGATGGCAGCCCTTCACAGTTAGAATGAAGGCTGTCACTCTCATCGCCCTTCTGAATTACTATCTCTATATCCCATACCCTTTCCTGTCTTTTTTTCTCACGCCAAAACTCAAAGCATAGCTTTTTTCTACTTCTAATTAGTTCCTGACAGCATTATGAGCAAAATCCTTTTTTATGTCCTGACTGACATTTCCCAAGTACCTGTGCCTTCTTTTCATAGAAACTACCAGGATCTCAAGAGACATGGCCTCTGAGAACCATTTCCTATAAAACAGCTTGTACATTGGATTAAAAGGAGGTTAAAAAAAAATCCAATGATATAGGAAGGAAAGGAACATATATGTGTGATCCCCCAAGAAGAGCCACAGTGGACATTTCAGAAGACTGGGAAGACAATGAACCACCTGGCAGCCATCTTTTCCAGACAGCAAACATGAGTCTCAAGGGAAGAGCCCGTTGTTGGCGTACGAGCACCAGTCATTTACCACTTTTTCAGGAATAGTCCTCTGTATACTCTGAGAGACGTAACTGTCTCCAACCCAGGGCACACGTGGCTTAATGCCAGTGTGATAAAATAAATTTAGGTATCATTGTTTCAGGATACTGCTGAAAGCATGTTAAATCTTTCTTTCTGCATATACATGAAATGTGGGTGACCAGGCAGAGAGGGAGCATTATGTGGGTGTCAGGGCCTTCTAGATGCAGACACGTTCACAGACTACAGAAAGCAGCATCCCAACTCCCCGACTCAACATCCATACCTCCCTGGTGGTACTTTCATCAGTTTGAATTATGCCATTTTAAATGTCTAAGCTCTTCAATAGTATTAAGACAATTTTAGTATTAACATAGGGTAACTACACATGATAAAGAAGCTGAGTACTGCAGACAGATTTGCTGTCCATAAAACAAAAACATCCATTACCCAATGTAAGACAAATTCCCTAAAGATATAGAGTTCTTACAATTATAAGAAGTCAACCTGAAAATAAAAATATTAAAAAGCTTTCTAATTGAAAGAACAAGATTGAGGTCATGGGTACCACGTGCATTACCTATTTTAAAGCATGTGTTTGATGTGATTGGATAGCCCAGATACAGCTCATTTAATGTCAACATTCATGGCAAAGTGCCACCTGCATCAGCCAGGAACTAGCTGAAAGACTCTAACACATACGGATGAAGGGGCATTAATCTACACCAGTCATCTGCCTGCTTCCTAACGCATCCATTCCCGCTGACTTTCAAACCTCTGCCATCCCTCTGCCCATCCTCTCTCTTCCAGTAGCTTTGGACTATCATAAGAGGAAACCGAGGAAACATATTAAGAGAGGCTGAAAAGCAGAGAATATCTGGTCCAGAGGCAGCCACCAGAAAAAACAAAGGCTCAGCTTCTGAGAAAACAAATATCTGGGTCTTCCTGCTGCGAGAGCCCACAGCCTAGGGATGAGGAGACAGGAGGGACTCTGGTATAAAAAACAGAGAGCAGGCAGTGGGAAATGTTGAATGTTTGCTGTGATATGATTTTGCTCAACAAACATTGACCAAGTGCATGGCTGGCTTTGAGCACTATGGAATGCAAATAAGTATGAGGCAATCTCTGCCTTGGAAAAGTTTGTATTATGTTTTTGAAACCAGGTCAAAAATAAATACAGAGTTAAATAGCAAGAGAAATCAGAATACGATTGAGTGCCAAGAGAGATGTTAGAACAAATGCCACAGAAGTTCAAAAGAGGCCAAGGAAAATTATCTTTTAAAATAAGGTACCTGACCCAGAACGTGCAAACTGGTAGAATCTAGCTGGAAAGAAGGAGGGGAGGGCAGCCTCAGGGCGCAGGTGCAGGTGGGACCCAGGCAGGTCCGTGGGGAGACGGTGCAGAGTTCAGCGCAGCCAGAGAGAGTAGCAGGTGCCCACTTGCTGTGTCTTGGTTTTTGGAAAACTTTGAATGCTACGTGGAAGAGTTGGAACTTTTTTTAGGGCCCATTAAATGAATTTGAGGAAAGTAGTATGATGATTTTTATGTAAAAAGTGGGTTTTAGAGGTCATCTCACCCATTGTTTCCCAACAGAGAAAGACTGCTGGCATTCAGGGCGGGATAATTCTCTGATGTGTAGAATTGTACTGTAATGTCGCAGGATCTTTTTGTCCTGTTCCCATCCATTGCATGTCAGGAGTGTCCCCGCCTCACTAGTTCATTACGACAACAAAAACAAAACAAAATGCCCCCAAGCATTTCCACACACCCCCAGATGAGAGTGCCACTGTAGTCGGGAACCGTATTTTACAGTCCAGTAAACTGAAATATCAAGAACTCACGCCATGGAGGGAGTTCGGAACCACGGCTCAGATTTCCTAATTCACAGGCAGTGTAAACTAGTATTTTAAAAAGAAGATGTTGAAGGCGGAGAAGAGAAGAAGTAAGACTGCGGCAAAGGGCAATTTGAGAGAGAGCCTGTTGGGGACCACGGCCCCAGTCCACAGGGAAGGGGATAAGGCCTCCAGTAGGGTGGCAAAGAGACAGCAAACAAGGACAGCCTGTGGGAAGAGGGCTGGGGCGTCGGGCAGTGTGGAGCAAAGCGTGGCCAGGCCTGCAGTCGGCAGGGCGTGGGGAGCTATGTGCCACCCCGCACTCCTCCCCGGCTGGGGACCCCAGTTTCTGCATCTGCAAACAGATGACCCCAGTGTCTGTCCCAGCCCCGTGATTCTCTGTGAGGCTTGATTCCAAGTCTTCAGGACCATGTGACTAAGAGTCACAGCCCCGTGGACAACACACAGGGAAGGGCAGCAGGAAAGACAGGTCGGGAAGACGGCAGGTTTGTCTTTAGACAAATTGACAGTGAGTGTAAGAGCAGCAGGATTTCTGATTAGAAATTGCAGTTAAACAGAGGGAAATATGAGACTCAGGAATAACTGACGGATTATTCCGTAATCCATTGTTTCTCTGTGTCATATATTGCAGACAATGGGGAACTAGCTATAGATGTTTCTTAGACCACAACTTTAGATAGTGATGTTTTCTGTACACCTATATAAGCCATTCTCTTGTTTAGCAGTTGATTTTTTTTATAAATTGTGCTTAAGGACAAAATTAAAATGAGTTTCTATATTAAGGATCTTAAATGGTAAAATTCCCCCTCAAAACCCAATAATAGATTATAAATAGAGATATTTTTAAACATCTTTTGGATTATCTTTTACCTCACCTGGAAATTTTTCAGGCAGATTCCGGAATGCCATGTTATAGGATTTATACATAAAGAGATCTTTATTTGACATTTTGACTTGCATTTTAATGCAGTGACACATCTGTCTGCAGTATATTCAAGTGCCAACAAAGTAGGACTTACCTCTTCTCCTAATATCCAAATGAAATTGGACATAAACAGAAAGAGTATATAGGCTATGAATATTGGCTCCCATCTCCCTATCAGTATGGAAATCACTAAAGGTTAACAAATTTGCCTTGTTTATACTGCAATTAGTAATATAATTAACATTAATAAGAAAGGATAAGCAGAGCACATATTTTTCTTTCTTTTACCACCTTACCTTGGTCACATTAGAAAATCATTGGTCATAGAACATTCTGGAAGGTACACACAAAAACACTTAACATGATTGCCTCAGGAAAGGGTAAGTGTCTGCAGGGAAGAGAAACTTCCCACTTTAGAAGCAGAAGTCACTCTTAGTCATTCTTTGGAGTGAGCTTCTTTGGTGGCAAAAGTCACTTCATTGGCTCTGATGACAAAAAGTTACAGTAACAAGAAGGTATAAAAGATAAACAAATGGCCCACCTATATAGGGCACTTACAGGTGGAAGTTGCTCTGGGTGAGTCAGGGAGTGGTGAGTGAATGTGAAGCCTAGGACATTACTGTACGCTGCTGCAGACTTCAGAAACACTGGACACTTAGGCTACACTAAATTTATTATTTTTTTAAAACAAAAAGCAAAAGCACTACAGTGTTACAACAGCTACGACATCACTAGTTAATAGGAATTTTTCAGCTCTGTTAGAATCTTACAGGACCACCACCTTATATGCAGTCCGTTGTTGACCAAAACATTGTTACGTGGTGCATGACTGTATTAACAACATGGAATGAGTGTAGGAAACACAGACACAGATGGAAAAGCATAATTTCCCATCTGGAGACAGTGGTACACATGAAAGTAAAAAACTGGATTGTGCTGTCTATGGTTTGTGTCCTATGTTACCATTCCAGTACCTTGTAGACAACTCCCATGTCATTAAAATTCTTCCATCATCTTTTGTCATGTGGATCTACCATCATTTAACTCAAGGGTTTCTTGGATACTTTGTTGTCCACTTTTCATTATTATAAAAACATTGAACAAACATCTTTTTTTTTTTGTTTCCTTACTATAATTCTAAAAACTTTGTTAATGATCTATTTTTAGAATACAAAAGAAATCTAGAGATAAATGTAAATTCATCCTTTGGGTTTTTCCTATGAACTTGCTAATTTTTTTTATCATCAAGTCTCCAGCATTTTCAGAGAAAGCATTAGCTGATTTATTAACCCCAATGCAGTGTAAAGCATGCAATTTTCAATCACAGCTTTAAGAAAACCCACCAGTGTACATTTCCAAATTGCAATGCTGAAGAGAAGATTGTTTACCAGTACCGAAAACTATTTTCTGAGGATATCTATTTTGTTTTGTCTGGAGAGCTAAATGTTTGGAGTTTTCACATTTACAATTATGATTAAAGCTATCAACATCAAAAGAAAAAGAAATCCTAAAAGTAGACACTATTGCAAACTGGGTTTTACCCAATCATAAGAGAATGTCTGGGGGAAGGCAGGCCACCAGGGACTCTTCTCTCTCTCTCTCTCTCTCTCTCTCTCTCTCTCTCTCTCTCTCTCTCTCTCTCTCTCTCTCTCTCTCTCTCTCGTTATTTATCCCATGAAGTTTTGTCAAAATGCTCAACCAAAACCAAGATATTAGAAGCAGGTTGGTAGCATGGGAAGAGTAAACAAGGGGTTTACAGTCAAGTAGTATTATAGTTAGAATCCTGGTCCTCTCTCTTAACAGTTGAAAATTTGGGGAAAACTTATTTTTCTCAGATCATCAGATTCCCTATTTTGTAAATTGAGGCTAATAATACTTATCTTGCAGAATTTGTTAGGATACAAGATACTACATGAAGAGAAGCCAGCGCAGTGAATGGAATAAAAGGCACTCAATAGAGACTGGCCCCGAGTGTAATCAATACTGTCTAAGAGAACAAGTCCATTCCACGTTCACTACTGAAGTTCAACACTGCCTCTCAGAAAGGAGTGTTATAAGCCTAGCTTACTGATAACGTTTATCTAGAATTTATCTCTCGTTAGCATGTTCAGGACAAGAAATGTGTCTTAGGCTATTCTGTGTATTAATTTAATGAACACTCATGACATTTGGCACAATCACTTTTCAAAAAACCATAACAACATCAACCACTCCTTAGTCACTTTTTAAAACTTTCTTATTTTCCATCATTTTGAAGGGTACAGATGTATTACTTCTTTTTTTAACTTAGGTCACGCCACGATCTTTTGTCCCTTATGTTGAAAAATTGGTATCAAAAGACCATCTGAAATTGATGACAGATTTCCAATGCTTACACTTTTATTTCAAAATTAGGCTTCAGAAGTCTCTAGAAACAGAGGAGCCTCTTTACTGGCCAGGCCAGGACACAGCCTAGTAGCTGCTATTCGGAGCCAACATCAACATGAGTCCTTGCCACTGGGTATGTATCACTCACGGCTACCTGATACTTAGCCTTTTTTTTTTTTTATCTTGACTCCTTTAATATTCAAGATTCTGTGTTTTCTTTCCCTTCTTTATGGCATGGTCTATTTACCCCACTTCCCTTCCTCCTCACTTCTCTCTTCCCTACTGTCTCACGAGCCCTCGCCCCTTCTTTTATTCCACTCATTGACTTGTTAACTCCATCCAGAACAGCATAGTTTAAATGAAGTGGTGGATTTTATTGCTGCTCAATACAGTATTTAATGTACACCTTTCTGTCCGTGTGTCTATGGGAAATGTTTGCACAGCCCTCACCCCTAACCTCTGCTACCTCTTTCCAAAACACATGCCACTTGTATGGAGGGGAATGAGGGGAGAGAGTCTGGATGGATTGGGGCATTTCCATTATCCCTTCTGGGAAATCGATGCATGGATGTCTTTGAATTCATAAAGAATCTTTCACCCTAACTGTGGCAAGATGACCCGGGAAAGGTAGAAGGAAGAGAGAACTCTGTCAAGGGTGAGCTATTGTAGTCTGCTTCACCTGTTCACACAGACGTGCATTAACACCCGGCAGAGTTCTTGAACTACTAAGGGTGATTAACTCAGATCTGGTTCACTCTTAGTTTGATCTTTTAAAAATCATAATGCTATTATGTCACACTTTTAAAATCCCTCAAGAGCTTACATGTTTTTGATGAGTACACTGCCTGCCCTTCAAACTCCTACGTTAATCCCTGTATCAAGCGGCCATTTTCCAATCATCAGAGAAATTATCTCTGGGACTCAACCACAACCCTGTGCTTTTGTCTGTTTCAGCATATAATGACAAGATTGTGGCATTTCTTCGCCAGCCAAACATTTTTGAAATGCTGCAAGAGCGTCAGCCAAGCTTGGCAAGAAACCACGCACTCAGGTAGGGCTCATGCCTCACCCCTGGAACTCCAGGTCTTTCCAGCTATTTTTCCTGATAGGAAAACACCTCTGTGCAGAGAGAGCGGAAGCTTATGGTGCATTTTACTCATGCATTTAAATTATATTAATAACTCAAATCTTCAAAATAAAGGGTTCAGGGGTTCCAGTGTTCTGGGAAATGGCACAGTCTGAGATAGTCTTATTATCAGGTTGCATATTATTATGTGATGCTGAAATGGTTTCCATTGATTTGAAGGAAAGCACAGAAAGGGAACAAATAGTATTTATTCAAAAATATGTATGTAAAGGGCCACATAAATTATTTTTTATTTTGAATATAATTGTTTACTGATAAACCAGATATTGAGTGCTCATATTCAAAAATAAACAAGCAAGCAAAAAAGTATCATATATGCTCTAACTACTTAAATCCTGCTATTCATTAGGGTCATTTTTGAACAAGAACCTCTGAAGCACTGAATCACTTCGTCTTGAAGCAATAGCCACCTTAAGTAATAAAAAGAGAAAATGTTCCCGGTACTTAAATCCTGCTTCCTCCCCAAATATTCAAACATCTCTACCCTTCAGTTCGATAACCACCTTTCAAAAGCTGCAGGTGCATGGTGGTTAGGAGCGAGCCCCCTTGGAGTTTGAGTTCTTGCTCCAGCACTTAGGGACTCTTGATACGGCATGTGATTCAGTCCCCTAATCTTCTCATCTCTGACAAGGGGGTGACAACGTGGCCATGGCTGAGATGTTTAGATATGGGTGTGTATAAAGGATTCAGCAAGGCAGGTGAGAATCTGGTCAGCTAAAGGCTTCCCTTCCCATAGGGGGCATCTCCAATCTGGATGACACCTGTACGACTCTGACTTCCTGGGGAATCCCTAACACCTTCAAGTCACCTCCTTGCCATTCTAATTTTTGCCATTCCCACCAGATGGATCATTCCTTACTCTTTCCCCTCTCCCAGCCCCCTCACTGACACCTCTTTTCCCTGTATTTTCACTCTGTAAATTAGAGCCACCATCCTCCCTCTTCCTCACCTCCACATCTAAGCATTCACCTCCTCACATTCTCTCTTCCAGCCCTCCTTTTCTCTTCCCCGTGCCATGGCCCAAGCACAACGTCCCTGTTCTCCCAAGTCTGCCTTTACCTAACGCTCCATCCTGTGCTAAGGTTTTCCTTCCGGAGTCTTCCACCTGCACCTCACACCACACAGGCCGGGTGCTCTCCTGCCTTGGCCTGTCCTGCAATGGCTTCTCCGTGAAGGGCATCTCATCTTGTTTTAAAGACCCAGATCAAATGCAGAAATTCAGTGATCCAGGCAGACTTTAATATTTCTTTTGTCTTGCTTTAGTAGCATGCGTTTTGTACCTCTAAGATATTTTCAGAGCTCTCTCGTTTTCTGTCATTGACTCCTCTCTCCCTGCAGTACGGTAAGCTCTTTAGAGCAAGGCCTTTCTCTCCCTCATCATCGTGTCCACTGTGCCCCCTTCAGAACCCGGTCTTCTATCAAAACACTAAATTACTTTCAGAGGGAATGGAAGGTCTTTAGCATGAGTAATGGTCACTTTCATTTATGTTCAGCTCTTAAGAATTGCCTGTCCAAGTGCCATTACAGAGCCACTGCAGACAGCAGTGCCATAGTGTCCTGTGGGCCATTATTCATGGGCCGGTCCGTCTCACAGCACATAACCACTTCGGGGAATTTTCAAGGGATTTCCAGGGGAGGTGCATTATCTGAACAGTTTCTGACACACGGCTGCTCTCGAATGTTCTTTAGGTTAGTGATTCTGCCACTAATAACTGTGCTCGCTTCTCACTTTTTGGAGGAATTTGAAGTCACCAAAGGCACCAGAGTCCAGTTTTTTTAAAGCAATCCCCTGTGTAAAAGAATGGAATGTATTTCCAAAGGGGAGTAAACGATTTTCAGCCCTACTGTGTAATAGGGGACAGCTGCCCCGTGCGGCACATCCTGCAAGCCTGCCGCGCGAGCTTAGAACACGCCGAAATACTCTGCGCAGGGGACTCTGCTCTTCAGCCGTATGGGAAGAGAAGACAGAGATCAGAAAAAGATCTGTTCCTTAGCTTCTGTGTTGGTGCGTAATTTTTATTTTCTTTCCCCCTGTGATTCTAGGGAGAAAATTCATTACATTCGGACCGAGGGTAACCACGGGCTTGAAAAGTTGTCCTGTGACGCAGATCTGGTCATTTTGCTGAGGTAAGGGGCTGAGCCCGCAGCGGTTCTGGAGAAGCTTCCTTGGGTGGTTCTCCCCACCACAGCCACCCGGAAAGGGGCCTGGACTGAACCACTCACGGCTAATTCTGGAGGATTCTAGTGGCTGCCACCAAAGTGGGGTCACCCCTCCCTCCCCGTCCCTGCTGTCTGTCACCCTCTTTAGATTTACAACTGAGGTAGCAGGAGCAACATAAAGTACTTGGTGGGGACTTTGTTGATGACGAAACAGGGTTTAAAAAAAACACTGAGGTCGTGCATGGTGGCTCACACCTGTGATCCCAGCATTGGAGGCTGAGGCAGGAGGATCACTTGAGCCCAGGAGTTTGAGGCCGCAGTGAGCTGTGATGACACCACTAGCCCAGGTGACAGAAGGAAATCCTGTCTCAAAAAAAAAAAAATTGCAAGCATGATGTGCTTATCTTTTTGTACTACATTTAAATCTAATTGCTTTTGTTCCTTGGTGAGAACTGTAACTGCTATTACCGCAGTTCGTGAACACTTTCTCAGGGACAGAGAACTAACATTTTCTTTTAATTTGCAGTCTCTTTGAAGAAGAGATCATGTCCTACGTCCCCCTGCAGGCTGCCTTCCACCCTGGGTACAGCTTCTCTCCCCGCTGTTCGCCCTGCTCCTCACCTCAGAACTCCCCAGGTAACTGCTGATGTCCCCGCGAGTGGCCACGTGTGATGCCACCGGGTGGCAGTGAATGCAGGGCGACTGTGTGTGTCCTCCCTGCCTCGTCCCTCCCAAGTCCCTGACTGGCAGTGCATTCTCAGTGTCAGGTGCTGACAAACTGCTGCTGGTTTTCGTAATGCCCTCAAAGCTAGAATGGGGCTTATCTTTTTTACTGATTGAAAAAAAACTTAAACACAATATTTCATGACACATGAGAACGATATGAAATTCAAATTTCCGTGTCCATGGAACCCAGCCATGCCTGTTCATGTACGTATTTTCCATGGCAGCTTTCACACTACAGCAGTGTAGATGGGTAATAGCAACCATGGGGCCTGCAAAGCTAAAATATTTACTATCTGGTCCTTTACAGGAAAAGTTTTCCATCCTTGCTCCAAATTGCTGTTGCATTCCATAGGCCATCTCCAAGCATTTCAAAGGGAAGCACCCTTTCTGAAACATTCTGCCTTATGAGTCAGAACTCTATCGCATACCAATTTTGGTACCATGGTTACTAGGGACCATTGTTAAATCTCCACAAAGATCCCAAAGAATTTTCTTACATAATGTGAAATTGTTCCCCCTAAGTTTTCCTTATGTATGAGAATGAACTTATGATATAAAAACTCTGTAGGTAGGTATTTTCCATTCCAAATGAGGGAATATATGTTGGACTGTTGAATGAAAAAAAAAAAGATTTTTTGGATTCATCAAGATAAAGAGCTTAGATCAAATCCACATCGCCAAACTGGATCCAGATACTGGAGAATTTTTCTCTTTTCATTTGGCTTGCATTGTCACATTGTCAGCTTGCATTATCACATTTTCCCATTGTTTCACTGTAAAAGTGAAAGAGGTTGACAAATCTCAGAACTTCCTATCTCACAACCTCTAAGGTCAGGGTCCAGGCTGGGCTTCTGAAGCCAGTGGGGAAATTTAGAAGAGAAACAGAACCTAGTGATGTGCCGTGTCTGTCTGAAAGGATGCCTCACTCAGAGTTAGTGCCATTCAGTACCGCCACAGTCTCCAAAACTAGAATGTCTTTTAGCGCAGTTCCTCCAAGTTGTGTCATTCTCATTATCTCTTAGAGGTAGTTTTGCTAGTTGTCAAAATCTGTTTTTAAGATGGTATCTCCTTCTTGTCGCTTCCTCCAAACGAGTGTACCAAAGGCATTGTTAAGGAAATGCACATGCTCCCCTACCTCTGACATAAAACGCAAATGAGATCCCATTGCCTAAGAAAAAGAGAAGCAGGAGCCCCGTTAGAGCCAACCACAGCACAATCCGACATTCTCAGCCTTCACAGGTGGGCCGACTTTGGGGGAACAAAGCCTTCCATTTGGGGGAGCTGTTGGTCTGCATGACACTCTGTCATGTTGTTGAGATTGTCCCGGCCTGATAATGTGTCTGTGCTTTGGTCCCCACTCTGTGCTTTGGTCCACAGACATAATGTGTCTGTGCTTTGGTCCCCTTTGGTAGTAGAGCATGAATGTCACATTATTATATGAGAAAGGTGTCACATTGCACATAAAAAAAAAAATAAGAGAGAATAAAGAGGTATTTGCTAAATGAAAATTATGTGGATAACTTTTCTAAAAGGAATCAACTTTTCTGATGGACATATTACTAATGCCTTGAATCCAAGTAATCTTCCAACTCATTTTGTCAAAGTTTGTTAATTCTTTGCTCTCCAGCTTTGACCACAGATTCCTAGATTATGCAATCCAAATATTTTTATTTTAAATTTCATAATTCCCATTATCCTAGGCCTTTATCAAATCTACCTGGGTGCTACAGAGATAGTGAATCATGGAAGTTTACACCAAAGTACTTTGTAAAGCAGAAATTATTAGAAAGCAATGTACAGCAGTGATCATGTGGATAGCAGTAGCACCAACAGGAGTGAAAGTTATAATGTTATAAAATACACTGTAATCTGCTGGACAGAAAATTTTACTCGCACTTACAGAGTTGCATTCTACTTCTGTCTGTGTCCTGAAACCTGGTGTTCCTCCAAGACCACTTCTTTGCGAGTGGTGGCTGTTGGTTCCCCCGCACCCCTGGTGTCGTGGGGTGTGGGTAGATCTGGGACCCCCACACTTCCTCACTTGCACCCTTAGCTGCTTCTCCCCTCTCCCTCTCTCCTTGCTGCTGTCGTCTACCAACACTTTCTCATTCTCAAAGCCGGTGGCACCCGCCTCATAGTCCTCCTCTCCTTCCCCAGCAGGTCCTTCCGTCATTCTGGATGAGTTTATCATCCACAAGGACCCCCATTCGGTTTCCTGGCCTCCCCGAGCCTGGGTTTCCTTGTCTGTACTGACTTTCTCCTCCCCTGCCTCAACCACCCACCCCCACAGCCACATTCCACACCAGGTCATCACCTCTAAAACCGCTAATTCAAGCGTCCTCTTCCTTTCCAACATGCTTGTTCAGCGCCTCTCCCTGCTGCCATCCCTTGGCCTCCTCAGGGCCTTCAGCACATGGAATTCCCTCCTTTCCCTTCTAATGTCTCCCCCTTACCCAGCACGGATCTGTGGCTCATCCCCGCCAGCGCCCTGACCTCCCTGCGGCTCTCTCTCCATTGCATCCCCAACCTCTGGCAGAACTTCACCCCTCCACAAACCTTCCTGGCCGCTTCCTCCCCTCCGCAGCCAGGCACCCTCAGGCAAACGCACTTGACAGGCAGATTATTAACTATAAATCAGTCCTCTCTCACTTCACATGAGCCCTGAATGCCCAAAAGAAAATTCTAGCACATTTGTTTGGTCTTCTCTATCATTTCAAATGTTCCCCTCAAACTTCCAGCCCCCACCCCCTCGTCTCTCCCAGCAAATGACGTCCCATTTTACTTCCGGGAGGAAGTGGAGGCCATCCAGCAGAAACGGCCTCAAACGCCGGCTGCCAAACCTGCACTCATCTCAGCCTCCTGCCCACCTGTGAGCGAGAGGAGGCGTCTTTGCTAAGGTCACCAGGACCTCAGGCAGCCGATCCAGTGGATGGTGCTCAGCCCTCCTCCTCCTGCAGCAGGTGTGGCGCCACTGGCTGCCCTCCCCTACGTCGTCTTTTCCGTTAGCTTCCGGAACACCACTCTGGGCTTCTCATCTCCTTCTCTGGCCACTCCTGCGGCCTCTTCCTCCTCTTCTACCATCCTTAAGGCTCAATCCCAGCTTTTTTCCCTTCTCCCTCAAACTGCATCTCTCTCCAGTCAAACAGTCGAAGGTCCCACCGTCAAAGACCAAGCTCATGGTCTTCTCCATAGCTCCCAGACTTGGCAGGCATGTTCTGTAACATCAAAGAACTGGATTCCCTTCCTTCATGAGTAGCAATCATCTCAACTTGTAACTGCATGCTCACATCTGTGAGTCTACTGGTATCAGTCTTCCCTAGACTCTGAGCTCAACACATGCAATATGGCCAGTAACTACCAAATAGTTATGGGATGGGCAAGCGGATTCTGGCCATCTGTAAAACTTGAATACGGATGTTATTTTTCCATTCTTCTTTTCATTAAATGTGTTTAAAGGCAGTAAAGCATTTACAAAGCACTCTAAATGATATAAGAGTTCTCCTCTATATAGAGGTAATGAATTATCATGATTATTGAAAGCTTTACTCTTACGATGCAAGGTACTCTAACATAAATTCCTAAATGCTCTGAGCCCTAGTGTGCAGGTATATTTATTTTAGCATCAGTATCTATATAGAAGCATGACAAATGTCCTAGTTAACCTCATTATATTTTCAATCATTTCTTATAGCAACTTACAAGAAACACTTAATCTAATTCAGTTCATGTTAATTATTTTAGATGATCTAAGTACAATTAAGCCAAGAAAAATGCTATTCAAGGTACTTTTAAAAGAAATACAACCCAAAATAGTTGGGGTTGAAGACGTAAATATGTATCCCCATTAGAATTCATTTTTCTCTTTAGTGCAATATTTCTGTTTATTATGAAAGTAACTGAAAGAGTGTTGGAAATCGAGGGGAACTTCTTGAAGACGAAAAATATGAAGATGCCAGAATGTGCCTCGGGTTAGCTCCTGCTCTGCCGTCCTTTGCGTATTTACTCTTCAGTAGAAAGTGACGACCTTGGGCCCGTGTGCTTCTCTCTGCAGGTTTACAGAGAGCCAGTGCAAGAGCCCCTTCGCCCTACCGGAGAGACTTTGAGGCCAAGCTCCGCAATTTCTACAGAAAACTGGAAGCCAAAGGATTTGGGCAGGGTCCAGGGAAAATTAAGTGAGTGCTCCAGTGCTTGGCACTGAATTCAGGTGGTAGATTTTTCTATCCCTTCCTCCCCTATACCTTTGTGATTTTCTTTTGGAGATTAAATCCCCTGGTGTAGTAGAAGTCATGGTCTGAAGGGAGGGAAGAAGGAAGTTGGGAAGTTGGAAGGAAAGGAGAAAGGAAGTTAAGAAATTGGAAGGGAAGGGAAGAGAGAGAAGAAGAAAGAGAAAGAAAAGTAGATTTTAGATAAGGGCATATAGAAAATCAGTGGTAGAACTTGTTTTCAGAAAACAAGGAATCTTAAACTAAATTGAAGATCTTGTATTTCCCTTTACTTATTCTTGGGGAAAATTTTACCTCATTAGTCAAATTCTTGGACTCTTTGTAACTTTATAACTGAAGTCTAAGTAAAATGTTTATTTTTTTTTCACTTCTGGGTTTATTATTTCTGTCTTGAAAAGCCAAACCCAAACCCAGGAATCCAACTTGAGACATCCTATGACTTGATCAAAAAAGAATCTTGAAGTTGTCCAATGCGATGGAATGTGTGATAAGTGTCCATGTTTTCCTTGTGCTCCCAATGTTTTGAAAATAGTGTTAGGAAAGTCCCTTGGCGAACTGGCAGAACCTGCATCTCCCTCTTTCCTCTTTGCTGGGGAGGCCGGGGAGTGAGACCCTAAACCCGGGCACCCTCAGCTCACATGGAACACAGTCCTCATCCTGGCTCAGGGTCGTGCTCACCGCCCCTTCTCCTCCTCAGGCTCATTATTCGTCGGGATCACTTGTTGGAGGGAACCTTCAATCAGGTGATGGCCTATTCCCGGAAAGAGCTCCAGAGAAACAAGCTCTACGTCACCTTTGTTGGAGAGGAAGGGTGAGGCGCCAGGAGTTTTATGCAGATGCCTCAGTGTGGGTAGACCAGGATCTGGGGTGATAGTTCCCCAGAAGGAGCAGGGGGGGGGGCCGTAAGCCTTTGCCCCCAGGCTATTCTGATCACATCCTCCCAGGAGGTTTTTAAAGTGCACATGTACAACTCCACACCAAACTTTTGATAGAATTTCAGTGATTTCATGGAAAACCACCTCAACCATGGAGGGCAAGCCCACCTAGGAGGGCATATTGGCATGAACTTGGAAGCCTTTTCAATTCACCCCCCTACACACACACACACACACACACACACACACACACACACACACGCACGCGCGCGTGCACATGCACTGTTGCTGGAAATACTTTTATGATTCCTGCAGCAAAGTCCTTGTTTTTATTAGGCCAGCTGTATGTTTTAGCTCATAGGTGTTAGATGATCAAAAGAAAAGGTTAAGGAAAACGGCCATAAGAGTTCATTCATGGACATCTGGCTAAGACACATCTCCAAACCAATTACTGCATCCTCATTTTCTAAAGCAAACTGATACTTCCACTGGGATCCACTCCAAAGAGCAGAGACTGCTGTCTGCTTCCCCCAGCCCCCAACTCTGAAAGGGCACACTAGAATCTGGGTAAGAAACAGGCCCCCCAGCTCCGGGCACAGAATGAGCTTCCTGGACCTCTGCTTCCTTTGCAGCCTGGACTACAGCGGCCCTTCCCGAGAGTTCTTCTTCCTTTTGTCTCAGGAGCTCTTCAACCCTTACTACGGACTCTTTGAGTACTCAGCAAATGACACTTACACAGTGCAGATCAGCCCCATGTCTGCGTTTGTAGAAAACCATCTTGAATGGTAAGATCTGTGTTTTTCACTTTCCTACGTTTGAAAGTTCTACTCTTTCTGAGTCAGAAGTCAGCAGCATTCTGGAAAGCCACCGTGTTTAGAGCAAAGGCAGGTATTATGAGGGGCCATGAGAGTGAACAGAGCGCCCTAGAAGGATGACTCTGACAGTCTTCACCCAGAACACAAGACAGATTACTAAAGACACTGATAATATATGAGTTGCAAATTGGGCTAAGATAGAATAATTGCCTACCACGAGAAGACACTAAGATAAGTAGACATAGGCCATGAATTTTGCTAAAATCATAAAGGTCCCCAGAAGAAGTGGCTTCGTGGAGGCATCCATGGGTTTGAAATGATTTGATCTCAGACCAGTGGTGTTAGCACTGTGGTCACTGGCTTCTGCATCTCGCGTTGGGTCAGATGATCGCAAGCATTCTTCTGAATTGAAAATCCAATGTGTCTGTGGTTGTCTGGTATTGGGGCATTCTTTTACCACTTACTGATGTGCATAAGAAGATAGGTATCCATCAATTACGTGCAGTGTTGTGGGCAGGATACCTCAGACGCAGACATTAGGAATCTCCAGAAAGCTGCATGGGCCATCTAGGGTGCACGCACTTGCTGCATCACCTCCACACCTGACTCGAAAACTACCCCTGCGCCGACCGCAGGAGCTCCCGCTATTGCCAGGGAAATGAGTCCTGAGCCGGCTAATGTGGGTTCTTCTCTGACACGGCTGATCTGTGCTGCTGTTGAAGGGAGCACTGGGGTGATGCCTGGGCCTGCTGGGCTGAAAGCCCGAGTCTCAACGGTTTGGTCATAGAGCATGCGCGTGGCCCGGCCTGCTGAGGCTTCCAGCTGTTGCACACGCCTCTCACTCCAGACACGCTCTCAGCTCTGAAGTTCTTGAGGCAGTGTATGTGCACATCAAGTGTTTGGCACAAGATAAAACAAAACTTGCCATCTGTCGCTCCTCTTCCTGTCACTTAGCAGCAAGCACATGAGGAGGCCTGGGAGGCAGAAGCACAGGGCAGGGCAGGCCGAGCGGGCAGGGCAGGCCGAGCGGGCAGGGCTCCGTGGGAGGGACGCAGGGCCCAGAGAGTTGAGCGCTCCCTGTGCTCACATTCACGAGGCTCCGGCCGGCACTGGCGAGTGCTATTCCCCCTGCACCCGAGTGCATGGTCCCCAGGCCACCGGCGATATAATCCCCCAGTTCTCTCTCAGCTTGTGAGCAGGAAATGTAAGACGTAAATGTAAGACTTGCTAGGTATTATGGGGAATACCTTCATGGATTTAACAGTTACAAATTAAGCACATACTGTGTGCTGGGAGGACACAAAGAGGAAATGAGTGAGGTGTCATCCCTCAAGGAGCCGTCATGGGAGGAACACATGAGTGAATCAACAATTACAATATAGTCACTTAAATGCTAAGTTATGCACACATACGTACCCACGCGTGTGCGTCAGCCTGAGATACGTATATAAGCTGGCGTTGTAGTCAACCACCAGGGCAACCTATCTCACCCGGCCCAGGGCCGGGGCCAGGGAGCGGGGAGTGAAGCCGGAGCATCCTGCATAACGACAGGAAGGGGGCAGAGGGTGTTGGGGACAAGCATCACAGTGAGGCGAATGGGACGTTCCGAGGGAAACCATGGAGTCAAGCGTGTTCCAGTGTGGCCACGAAATAGAGCCCCACGGAGGCCTGATGGAAATCACAGAAGACGCTGAGCCTGTGGCCCACGTGTCGGGCAGCCAGCCCGCTGAGGGTGGCCTCGGTCACTTTCCATGGCGAAGGCGCCTCGCCAGCTCCCAGCCCCCCTCGAGCCGGCTCTGCTGCCGCCCACTCCTCTCCGCACTGAGGGCCCGAGGAGCCTCCGCAGATGTGTCAGATACACTTTACTGCACCGAGGAAGGAAATCTCGGCATGCGGGATGTCAGCATTAGCAAGGTTCTCTGGGTGGAGCCCTGCCGAGGGCCCAGAAGTGCCTGCCCTCAACGTGCCAGCTAACTGCCGTGTCCTCTGCTCGAGGACTTGGCCTGCAGCGGAGCACGCTGACTGTCATCTGCCGACGTCCCGCTCTCGTTGAGGATGTTTGCTGTGCCTCCTGGAAACAAAGTTGCAGGCGGCCGTCTCAGCAACGAGGGTCTGAGCCGCTTCCTTCCAGGGCCACTGGTCGGAGGCCGGGCTGTCACGCAGTGGGCAGGAGACCTCGCCTCCGGTTTAAGGCTCCAACTCGCAACGCCTCTGTCCCCAGAGTCCACAGCCTACAGTGCAGAACAAGCCCCCACGCCTCCACTGGGACAGGTGTCAGATTGTATCAGGAACCTCCATGTGGAGTCACACTGTTATCAGGGCCTCAGGATTCCTGAGAGAGGGGGACTGGTTTTCTTCGCACAGTCAGAGCCGGGGTCAGTGAACTTAAGCCGCCTACACCGAGTCTAGCTTTGAACAGGAAGCCCTGTTGGGTTTCGGGAAGTCTTAACAAAACCGTAACGCTGCATTTATCCCTTTTGCTTATTTCCCTGCCATAAGCCTTTCTTGTGCCTCGTGGCAAATTGTCTAACAAATAAAACACACAGGTTTTGCCTTTCCTGTGCCCCTGAGTGCTCTTTAAACTCCTCGGCCAGCATTTGACCAGTGGGCACCCAGGAGGGCTCAGCCCAGCAGGGAGTGGGTGCTGTGGCTGCAGCCGGGGGGTCCATGACACTGAGGAAACCAGAATCCTGAGCTCTCAAGTCTGATTGCCCAAGACTCCACCTGCTGCCACTGGCTGCCTGGAGCCAGCAGGGTGGCGCTGCTGATCCCAGATCCCTGGGCCAGGCCCTCCTCCCTCCCGAGCTCCAAGGCATCACATGGATCCATGGGGCTGCAAGGAAGATGGCAACCACCATAACCTGCACAGCACTCATGAGGAGACAGAGACCAAAGAGGACAGGGCTTGTCAGGGGCACAGCTCTGCCTTCATAAAGCTGGAGATTGTCCCTTGACACAGGACAAGCCAGGGCAGGACGCAGCCTGGGGAGAGGAGGGTGATATGTTCACAGACAACCACTCCCTGCCCACCTCCTCTTCACTCTGGAAACAGAAATAAACATGACCACAGACCAGAAATAAACATGCGGAGACAGGGCAGCTTCCAAGGATTAAACATCACTCGGGATTGGCACGTTATTGGCTGTGGCTGGAGAAGGCATCTTTGCACCGGTCATTTTTACCTTTCTTTGAGTTGTTATTCTGGTTCTTTATCTAACTCCACTGACCTTCTTCTGTGTCCCATACTCTTGTTTGCTTTTTCTGACTCCCATCTAGAAGATAAGCTCTGCGGGAGCAGAGATGGTTTTGTCTTATTTTACTCTAGCACAATGCCCGGCACTTCAAGGTGTTCAGAACAATCTCTCACTGGCTGTTGGGTGCATGAATGAGTGTCATTCCATGAGTCATGCCAGTCTCTTCCTTGCACCAGGGCTGTGAAAATAAACAGAGCTCTCCTTCCTTCCATGTGCAGCTCATTGCTCAAAGTTCATCCTTTTCTTTATCGTCCGTGATTCCAAAGCCCCTTCAATGTCAGCGACATTTAAATGCTCGCATCCCTTAGGAGCTCTGCACTCTTGGGATCGCCGTGCAGGATGCTGAATGCTGCCCGTGACTGAGGGAAGGCCTCCTCCTCCCCCGCTGGCACCACCCAGAGACATCAGTGGAGAAACCCCTGACGCTCTGTCCTTCCCCTGGAAGCGTCCCTTTGAGAGGACGTGCTTCAGATTCTGAGGCCTAGTGCTCCCTGGGGCTTTGTATCCGTGGGATAGAGCCCGCTGGATCAACCGCCAGAACAGGGCGTAGCGATCCCACCTACGCCCCTTTTTTACCTAGTCAAGTGTTGAGAGATACCAATATGAATAAATATACTGAAAATTCTGTGTTACACACATTACGTAAACTGAAACAAAAATCTTTTTTTGTTGTTGCTGTTCATTTGCCTTTGGCCTAAAGGGACTTCCTGTAATTGCTAGTAATATTCCATTACTTATTTGTACCACCACCTTTCTAAACTCATACGGACCCTGTCGAAGTCAGCCGTGGCAACACTCAGGCCCAGTTACAGAGAGGAGATTGAGTCAGAAGAGCCCTTTGAGGCCAGGCACGGTGGCTCATGCCTGTAATCCTAGCACTCTGGGAGGCCGAGGCAGGCAGATAGCTCGAAGTCAGGAGTTCGAAACCAGCCTGAGCAAGAGCGAGACCCCGTCTCTACTATCAATAGTAAGAAATTAATTGGCCAACTAATATATATATAGAAAAAATTAGCCGGGCATGGTGGTGCATGCCTGTAGTCCCAGCTACTTGGGAGGCTAAGGCAGGAGGATCACTGGAGCCCAGGAGTTTGAGGTTGCTGTGAGCTAGGCTGACGCCACGGCACTCACTCTAGCCTGGGCAACTAAGCGAGACTCTGTCTCAAAAAAAAAAAAAAAGAGCCCTTTGAGAGCTGCAGCCTGCGAGGGGCTGCCACCACAGCTGTGGTCACCCGTGGACATAGCCCTGCCAGCCTGGTCGAGGCAGGGCCAGGCCACAAAGTAGCACCTCAGTGCTCTTCCTCCACCTCCAGTATCATGGGCCAAACCCAACCCTAAGCCAGAGGACAAAGGTTCTCCAGGTATCGCAGCCCACAGTGGCAGTCCCCAAGGTCACAGAGCAGGGCAGGAAAATGTGGGAAACCTGTGGAGGGGGGGAGGGGGGAACTGAAACTAGCCACAGGAGCCCGTACAGCTCAGGACATTCAACTCATCCACTAGAAGTCTCACCGTTTGCTAAACTTATGTGTCTTTAGTGATAGAAATCTTGAAATACTGTTCCAAATGTATATCTTCATTCTTTTATTATGATGATGTCATCTGTATATTGATGAGGTACTCATAAGCTACTCTTTGTATTCTTTTAATAGTTATTATATCTTTCAGGATATAAACTTATATATAACACACACAGAATATATATATATATACACGTGTATA